GGTCTCAGGGCCATTGCTGTCTATGGAGGACAAGAAAGCTCTTAGATTTCAAAAACTTTCATTTGTGTTTTGAAGATAAACAGGGGAACAACGTGAGGGTGAATAATTAATAGCAGAATTTTCATTTGTGGGTGAATTAACTCTTAGTTAATTAGTGTAAGGACACTAGCTGCTGGAGAATGTGTGGGAGAAAAGTAGCTAAACATAATCATGTTTTTTTGGGATTGTCAGAAATTAACCCCATACTGGAAATACATTTAGACACCATTTTTGAAGTAGAGATTGCTTTCACTTGTAAATCTTTATATTTAGGTAGCATAAATTTAGATGAATTGAATAATAAAGACAGGCAACTGTTATTTATTCTTATGGCAACTAGTAAAAAAGTAATTACAAAACAATGGTTAAAATTAGAGTCACCTACAGTTGAAGAATGGGCTGATGCAGTGCACACTATGTATGTCATGAAACGATGACCTTTTTTCATTAAGAACACAGACTGAATACTTTTTTCTAATTTGGAGTAAATGGATTGAGTATATTTCACCTATTTGCCTGAATTTATCTTGAATTGTAACTTTTAAATGTAATTTTATGTGTCTAAATATGTATCTTTTCTTCTTTAAAGGCAAATTTCTAAAGGATTTGTAGCTCCCTGTGTTTTACTGTTTATAGTTGTTGTTTTTGTTGTTGTTAAAGGGAAGAAAAGACAGAGCATATGCAAGATCTGAAAGTCTCTTTCTATATGAGAGATTATGTAATTTATATATGTATTTTCTTTTGGAAATTATCTAAAGTAATGACTAAACTCACATTTGAAACATTCAAACCTTGAAAGGTCCCACTTCCCTAATATGGATCAACACAGTTTTGTGATATCACCGTACACTTCAGATTTTTATCAAATCTTGTGACCAATTAAATGTTCTTTGGTACCATAAGTGTTTCTTCCCTTTACAAGATGCACTGAATTTGGACTTATTAATTAAGTGCTCAAACAGAGGGCTCATCTAAACACTTATATATGTAAGAAAAATTCTAAACGGTACCAGACAGCATGTTAATCTGAACTTCATGTTTATTATTCAAAGGACACCCAAAAGCCAGGATACTGAAACGATCATATAAATGAGTCAATGCAGATCACAAACTGTAATGCACCCATTAGAATTCCTTCTGTATTTTGAAGTGGGAGAAATGTTAGGCAACTCAATATGGCTATTAGATTGTGGCTGTCATGAGTCAGATGTGCTTTTGCTCAATAACTCCGGCTGGCCCAACTGTAATATAAATACGCTATTGGCTATTTTTTTAAGTAAGGAGGAGCTTTTCTATACGTCTCATCCTGTCTTAATGTTTAACTTTATGTCACGCATCAATTAAAGCTGCACATTCCAAGGCACTTGATTTTGCCCTTTAAGAGCATGATGGAGTTAGTTGTCTATAAACAAAAGATTACAAAAAGCCCCGTTAAAGCCAAATCCATTAAACTGCATATTCATCAGTGATCAGACGTGGATGACTCTGAGTATAGGTCTTCAGCTGGCTCTATAAAATGAGTGCTCAGAGGAAACGCAGTTCAACACTTGTTAATAGAAATGTTCAGACAGGTTAAATAACATGATGAATCTGTTTACCTCTCGTCTGCCTTCCAGACTAAGAAGGACATTCTGCTGAAGGATGAGCTGGAGGAGATTCAGGCCAGGCATTCTGATCGCTTCAAACTCTGGTTCACCGTGGACCGAGCTCCTGCAGGTATAAGTGCATTGTTGTTTATCATTGTTACTGACAAAGGTCTCATACAATCAATCTTTGATATTGATTTTCACTACAGTTTAAAGTACCTAATTTAAAGCTAAGAAAACACATGCAAATAAAAAAACACTCACATATTGAGAAAAATCTTGCGTGCACGCAAATTCTCACAACACATGCAAATGCAGAAACATGCTCCAAATAGCGCAAGCCATAATGCAATGTCTGGGAACCCCAGAAGTGATGAATATAGCTACTTCCTGGCTAGAGTCAGTAGTATGGCTGATATAACATTGCATTTAAAATAACGTCAGTTGTGCAATTTGTTTTCTTATAAGGGCTAAATGTATACAAGCAACCACAAACTGTACGACCAGGGGTCTGTTCTTCGTAGCTCACTTAAAAGATCTAAGATGATTTGGCAGATCCTGGATTTTTTAATCTTGATAACTGATCTCTGGCTAATTTGGTTCTTCAAACTAGTTTGTGAATCAGATTAAAATGTCTGCATTAACTGATCTGAGATAGCTGCGCGTGTTGTGAAGGACAGATCTATCAATCCTCAATCATAATCAGCAATGCAACGATTGGCTGACGGCACAGCAGCCTAATGACATCATCTGATTAATGTTCAATTATCCAGGTGAGCAAAATTACATAAAATTAGTAGTAAACGTTTTGTTACATATGATACGCAATAACTTTACACCTTGTTGTGGGCTGCATGCTTGGCCCTCTTATGTGTCATGAGCAATTTATTTAGTTTTACAGTTACAGAGTGGATTTTCCTTATTATAGTAGTATTATTGTAGCCGGTCTTTTAATCAGTGTAAAGAATAACTGGATGTTTACAGAAGCATTTTGATATTGGTAAAGGCGTCTGCAACTTTTGTGAATCAACAAATCCCTTTCATATTAACTGTCAAAACATGGTTATTACTTTTAAAAAAAGTCACATATTGTGCATGTCTATTATCACAATTATTAGTATTATAATACAGTTATACAATTAATTAGTATTAGTACAAATTGTACTAAAGCGATCTAAAAAGTTCATATCAATAAGTTTTCTCTTTGCACCGCCTGGTAGCAGTCTTTGTACTTTCATTTCGGGGGTGCAGATTGCATAAGTTATATATAACTGCTTAATTGCTTGAACTGACCCGATCGAATCCTGTTTATATGAATTGAACCTGCTCCCGACCAGATTTGTTTATTTAATATTTATTATTATTTATTTATTTATTTATTTTATTTATTTTATTTTTTTAAAGATCATTTTACCTTAGTCACGTTATCATTAATGTTTAAATTGGTTACAAATAAAATTGTTTTTAATTTAAACTTGAATATTTTAGGCAAGACAAGTTTATTTATATAGCACATTTCATACACAGTGGCAATTCAAGTGCTTTACATAAACAGGAATAAAAGGGACAAGTATAAGAGAATAAAAACAAATAATAAAAATTATTAAAAACAGTGTTAAAAGAATGAAAAAAAAAAGAAAGACATAATAGTGCAATCTGTCGTACACAGCACAGTACTCATTCAGTAAAAGCACAGCTCAACAGATGTGTTTTCAGTCTTGATTTGTATAATGTTGGAGCACATCTGATCATTTCTGGAAGCTAATTCCAGCAGCAGGGGGTGTAGTAGATTCAACCTGTTTTGATTGAACTCTTGCAATTTCTAGTTTATTTGATCCTATAGATATGAGTGATCTATTTGGTTTGTATTCAGTGAGCATATCTGTAATGTATTGAGGTCCTAGGCCATTTAGTGATTTATATACGAGTAACAATACTTTAAAATCTATTCTGAATGTAACTGTACTTTTTTTATTTTATTTAACCAGTACAGAATTTAACTTGACGTGAGTTTTTTTTTTTTTTCAAATAGATGTTTAATTTCTCATATTTGCCCTTCATTCAACATCTACCTGTATTAACTTGTGTGCAGATTGGGAGTACAGTCAGGGCTTCATCAGCGCTGAGATGATTCAGGACCATCTTCCTCCACCCAGTGATGACTCTATGATCCTGATGTGTGGTCCACCTCCTATGATCCAGTTCGCCTGTAATCCAAACCTGGACAAGCTGGGCTACAGGCAGAGCCAGCGCTTCGCCTATTAGGCCGTTCTCAATGTTTAGGGCCAGACCACAAATTACTCCAAAGATACTGAGTTGCGCACAATCGTATTTGGCATTTTAAATCTGATCTTACAAAGCAAATAGCTCTTTTATGGACAGTATATAATACACATTAAATGTTTAAGTGCTAGACTGTCCAGAGATAATTGGTTCTTCATATTAAAAGCCTTTAATTCAGTAATAAGAAACATGATCTGCTGTCTCCTCAGGCTTTATATTCACCGTTGTGGCTCATGATAAGATGCTGATACTACAAAAACAAACGCACTTAAAAAAAGCACCAGTGCTGCTTGCTGGTTTAATGCTGAATATTATATTCATGTGCCTATATGTGAGCTATGAGTTCATTGTTGTATGTGCACATTGTTATATGCTGTCACTGGAGTATTTTTGTATGCATGTTGTACTCCTTATGTTTGTCTCGTTAATCGTATTTAAATTTAAAAAGCAACACATTTGTTTTGTATGAAATGCACTAAAGTAAAAGCATATTAAAGTGTTTTCACTGGGAGCTTGTTTTATTTTCTTCTTTAGTGTGGCCAAATAAGAGTTGTTTTGGTTGTGATGTGCTCACATTTGCATTGATATTATAAAAACTGACTTGTATTTGAATCTAAAAAGCAATGAAGTTGTTTTATATAAAATGTATGTATGGAAAGGTAAAACAAGAGATCATTAATAAACATATTAAACAATCATTTTCTCTAGCAACTGGCTTTTTCCCCGCTCTGACATCTGAGTATTTTATGGATGTTTTGGTCGTGAGATGTTCACATTTGCATTGACAGAGATTATAAAGACTGGCTAGGGTGAGGATTTGGGATTATAGGAGATTGTCAGTGAAGGCCAGCTGGTTAAACACAAAAATACTCCATCTTGAAAGACTGATAGTGTTTTTTTATCTTCCTAAATCCTGTTCGCACGTGCCTCATAAATGTGACCGTCACACAAACGCGCTACAGAATTTTAGACGCATCTTCAAACGGAGCTACTGGGTCCTTCACATTGAAAAAAAATCACCTGCTGGCGATTACTGCTCTAAATTTGGACGAAAACCACTGAATAAATGGGTTAGTGCCCCTAAAGAGCGCTGTGGGGGTTTTAGCAAACACTGTGCGCTACCGCAGTTGTCCAGCGGGCGGCGCCACCGCGTGTTATATCAAAGACAACAGAGAGCCAGTTTGAACTCGCCGTCTGACATACAGCAGCTTTCAACTCTTTATTTCTCCATCCTGCTGGTGTTTGGTGGCCATCCGGAAGAGATCACATTTCTATAACAACAGATCTGGATATCAGGTAAGCGTCTGCACGATGAAATGTATTATTATTTCAATCCAACGGCAAAAAATGTGATAATGTTGTTGTAAACGCATCCAGACAGTAGTTTAGCGGTACGCAGCGATTTCTGTCCCAGTGCTAACCTGTTATAACACAACAGCTTTAGGCTTTTTACAATACGCACTGAATAATTAATCGTCGTTAGGGCTGTTTTGCGAATAAAATAGCTGTTGTTATTGCATTGCTATGTAACGTTGTGAATGTTTGTATGTTATAAGTGTTGTTCGTGACGTTTACCGGTGTTTTTGCTGCTCGTCCTGCAAAATTTAAAGCCCCCCATGTTAGCCAGCTGGCTAATTACCGTTAGTCATGGTTATGAGCTGTTTGATGCCACCTCATACAGACACATATGTTATTTATGACGGGTTTATTTCGAAATCTACTGATCAGCTCATCTAGACAGTGGTTTTGGGATTATAAGTGCGTTCAAACCTTTGATTCGCATTAGTGGCGAGGATGTTGATTCGTCACAGACAGTGACTCGAATCTTTTAAATTGGTTCACAGAAATGTGCATATTAATCAGTCAATGTGTCGTTTATTTAATTGATCTATTAAAGAAATAGTTCACCCAAAAAAAATGCTGTTAGTTTGCGCATCCTCAAGACATCCAATATGGATGTCTTTGTTTGTTTTCAGTAGAATATTAAATATTATTAAGTCTAAACGTGATTCATACAATGCAAACAGAGTTACAAACACAACCAGAGTAAAAAAAAAAAAAATCATGTGAAGGCCATTAATTCAAATGGTCCTGACTTCCTAACAAGTCTCATTGTGCGAGTTTAAAGGGTTAGTTCACCCCAAAAAATTATATTATGTTATTAATTAATCTCCCTCATGTCATTCCAATCCCACAAGTTTACCACAGGGTATCTGTGGTTTCAAAAGTCTTAAAATGCCTTCAATTTCAAAAATCTAAATTTTAGGCCTCAAAAAGGCCTAAACTGAAATATTGAGTGAATCATTTTCATTTCAGTTAATCATTTTAAACTGGTCTTAATTTCCCTATGGCCACGTAAAGCTACCCAATCTGGGCAACACCCAATCACCAATAATCCATCTTAAAATTTGTATAGCTTTTAGACAGCTGTTAGACATTTTCACAGCAAATTCTCCGAATTTATTTTCCCTAATGAAGGAAAGAAAACTAAAACAACACATCCTTTTAAATGGTCTTGCATTAATACAAAAACTATTTACAGAAGTAATCGGATCATTCAAAAAATCCTTAGTGTTTTGCCCCGTATAAGTCTAAAATTTCATTCATAATGGTCTTAAAGTCTAACATAAAGTCTAAAGTCTGCAGAAACCCTGAAGACCTTTGTCTTCAAAATACATATTAAGATACTTAACATGAAATTTGAGATACCCCGTCATCCTACACAGACAGCAATGGTTCATATTCATTCAAAGTCCTGTCAAAGAACATCCTCATAACATTTCATATTCACAAGGTTCTGATGGAGCCACTGAAGCTATGAGAATACTTGTGTGTCCACATAAACCAAAATAAGGAGTTAATTCAATGGTTTCCTCTCCTCAGTGTTGGTATAGGGGACATTCTACCAGAAACATACATTTTTACTTATAAAAAAATTAATTTTAATTTTTTTATTATTGCATAAACCATCAGGAACAAACATACAATATAAAAGGTAAAACATTAAAAATAAACTGATATAACAATGGTAAAAAAAAATAGATACACAAATCATATTGTTCAGCATTTCTACATCCAATGATTTTAGGAATTAACAGAGTAGCCAAAAAAAAGTGTTATAATAATGAGAACTTATCTAAAATTTTTTTTACTCTTCAACAATTTCACAGTATAAATAAAGTAAAACCTCTGTCAAATTATCTCACTTCTGAGTCATAGCCTTAAACGTGTATTGCATGCATTTTATATTCAGTTTAATGCAAATGTGACAGGACTGACCGAAACATGAGGACAATTGTAAATTCATTTGTATTATACAGTTGAAATCAAAATTATTAACCCCCCTTTGATTTTGATTTTTTTCTCCTTTGAAAATTTCCTTGCTCTGTTTAACATAATTTGGGAAATATTTAAAGTATGTCTTTTTTTTCTGGAGAAAGTCTTATTTGTTTTATTTCGGCTAGAATAAAAGCAGTTTCTAATTTTTTAAAACCATTTTAAGGTCAAAATTATTAGCCCCTTTAAGCATTATTTTTTTTCGATAGTCTACACAACAAACCATCGTTATACAATAACTTGCCCTAACCTGCCTAGGTTAACCTAATTAACCTAGATAAGCCTTTGAATGTCACTTTATAGAAGTTGTATAGAAGTGTCCTGAAAAAGTCAGCTGTATAGAAGTGTCCTGAAAAATATCTAGTCAAATATTATTTACTGTCATCATGGCAAAGATAAAATAAATTAGTTGTTAGAGATGAGTTATTAAAAATTTTATGTTTAGAAATGTGTTGGGGAAAAAAATCAGCTCTCCGTTAAACAGAAAGTGGAGGAAAAATAAACATTAGCTAATAATTCAGGGGGGTTAATGATTCTGACTTCAAATTTAGATTTGTAGTTTTTATTTGTAAAATTTATTAATAATTTCTTGTTTTTAACCAATTGATGTGAATGACAACAGCTTAAACTTGCTATTTCTGAAGGTTGTTTTTCTTCTATATAACAGTTTTTTGGTTCGCAAAACTATTAAAGCTGTAGGTTCAATTTGGCTGAGGACATGGACAATATCAGAGTTTGTACAGTGTAAAGTGTTTTTAATATAGAAAAAGTCTGATAACCAAATGAATGACATATTCCTTTACAAAACAACTCTCAGAAATCAACCATTTATTCGCTGTATTTCTGATTGTATTTCAGGGACAGATAATGTACGTTTCTGGTAGAATGCACTCGCATTGCATTCGGGCATGGGCATGCTTACGTCATGGATTATGCGCTGTTCAGTAAGCGCTCTCGCTCAGCACAGTGGAGATTTCTGGTTGTTATATCGTTTAAGTTGTTTGATATGCAGTGACATGCACTCAAATATTTCGCCGAACAGATCCGCCACTTGACGCTCATAAACAATCATAAAGTCCTCCTGCTGCAGGAAATAGGAGGTTTGCTAAAGGTGCAGCTGTGGTGCAGTGAGGGGTTTACCTAGTTAATAATCTATGACAGTTTGCGTTCATTGAACAGTAAGAATGATTAATAAATCCATATGAGACCGTGCCTTAAAAGTCACGTCTTGCTTTAAGTTTCGGGCTCTGGTGCTTTTTGCACTCACATGCGTATTGCACCAAAGCCAAAGTGAACCGCACTCAGACACACCTCTTCCACAAATTCGAATGACATTTAACATGAAACTAATCAGATGGCGATCTGTGGCGCGGCTGAAAAATGAACTGCGTCCTGAGCCGTGGCCGGGCGTCGCCGACAGCCGCCGACTTGCGGCGCCGGTGTGTGTATCCTGATAGAAACCTATGTTTAGAATTCTAAAATGCATGGCGCTGTGTGGCGCTGCCGAGCGGCGCTTCTGGTGTGCGACCTGCTTAATAGTGAGTTACTTAAAAGACTATTGAATACACTAGACATGTCACTCTTATTGTTTTGACTGGGGGATAGGTGTAACAGTCAATACGGTGAATAGTACAGGAGCCAATCGTCGATTGCTATATGGCGAATAAAGCCTTCCTTCTAGTACAGTAGCTAATTATTAATTGCTATAGATTGATGATACACAGGAGGAGAGGCTCGGACTAGACGTGAGTTTTTGCAGGTTTTGTGTAATTCGAACGTTTAGAAATGAAACTGCAGGGACAGTTGTTGTTTAATTCTATTGTCGATTCTTAATATGAAATTTCTTCGTAAGCTTGGCAAGCAGTTTTGAAGAATTTCATGTTTCCCCATTCAAACAAAATGCCTGAGCATACTGCCTGAGAGCCATTTCAAAGATGGCCATCAAGTGAAATGACTTGCCTTAAAGGGACTTTGGTTGCATTCAATACATAGTGTTGTCTCCTTCGTCTTCCAGTTTTGTCAACAAATTTAGAACATGGCCAAAGCAGAACTTTTGTGGCACTACAATTTTTAGTTTCTGAGTAAATATTTTTGACTGAACGGGTTGAATTTGATTCAGAAAATTCCTCGTTAAAATGCTCTATCACACCCCTCTCTAGGTTTTGAAACGCACAGTTTGATTGTATTCGCCTCGTGAACTGAGATACTGATGCCATGTTGTTTCCCTTTTTTCCCCCCAAAGACTGAATGCAATTTCATAGAGAGGCAAACATCAGGAGGCTGGTTTAGACCTGCCTGTGTTCAAAGCTCCTGCTAGAGGTAAGCCGTCTCTGTTGTTCCGCTTCACTGCTGTTGTCATGTCTTGACTTTGACAATAAAGTGTGCTGTTTTGATTGAATATTTAACTTTTGGCTGGCAGGGAACTGAAGTGGAGGCTTCAGAGGTCTGGGACGGGTCACAGGGCAGTCTACTGATGTCAGGCCAAATCAGGTCTGCCAGTCATGCAGACTGCCGGGTCACAGAGGAATGCCACGTTCCAGCCGACGTGGAGCTGATGGAACTCGGGCCCCTGCTGGAAGAAAATGGCCCCATGGGGGCCAAAGGACTCCAGTCAGAGGCAAGCCACATGATTATTAATCTGAATGCATTACAGAGTCTTTCATTTTCAATGCCAGACAGCAGAAAGTACCGCAGACTCGTTTTTTTGAGCTCTGATTGTGTCCACAGGGAGCAGGTGCTCTTGCTGATGATGAAGAGGAGGATGAAGAAGTTGGAGAAGTTCTGACTCTGCCACTGCAGGCTCACCACGCAATGGAGAAGATGGAGGAGTTTGTGCATAAGGTGGGTTTATCAGACATTTTTGTGAAGATCAAAATCAGACTTCTATCACCATTTTTTTTCATCAATCCCAATTCTTACCCCAATGTTGTATGCCTTCAGTGATTTCTTGAAGGTAAAATCTAAAAAGAAATGGAAAAACAATAGCAGTCACCATCGTCAATCTCATATGAAGCAAAAGATCGCAATGACAGATGATGATGTGTGCAGGTGTTGTAGTGCTGTCCCATTTCTTAGGGGTAAATTTTAAAGCCCTTCCCCTTCACGCTCTTTCAAGGGCCAAGGGGAAGGATAAGGGGTAGGGATACAAAAATACAAATGCCATTGGGTCTAATTGTGTGAACACATGGCATGTTTGGTTTGATTAATACAAACCCTGCTGCAGTAACTCTTTAGTGGAGTTTATGTGCTGTGTTTATTTGCTGCAATCCCAACCTTGGTACTCATCAAACCAGCAGGCTGAGATCATTGAAAAAATAAGCCACACTTTCAGACAAACAGTGCTGCAGTGTGAGTGAAAAAGAAGCCGTGGTCTGAAGGTAAATATACCAAACTATATTAAATCAAAGTTATAACTTTTAAAAATTATAACCTAATGCATAAAAAAACATTAACAATCACATTTATAACACAGTGGAGTTTAATGCTGGACACACTAAACATAAAAACATCCCCATCATTCTTCAACAACCTCTTTCATCATCCATTGTCGGGTGACAGTAAGTACATTTAAACAAAATCTGATTAAAATATGCCATTTAATTGAAACATTTAATTTCAGTTAGCATTTAACAATAAAACATCGAAACATCTCCATCATTGTCCCTCTCTTCTCAGATGGGATAGTGGACCAAATCAAAGGTTACCATGGGCCAACTTTGGCCATCGGGCCCTAGTTTGATCATCACTGGCTCAAACAAACAAAAAAACCAGGACATTGTGTGTTACAATGTGACCAAAAACGTGCTTAAACATTCATGCATTTTCTTACCACATTCATTACAGTTTAGTACAGGCAAAATGTGTGTCATTACAGCTTTGTCTGTTTTATTTTGTATATTTACTTTAAAAATGACATTGAATGCTAAGCGACTCAGGACCCAATGTATAATTTTGTTTATTTTGGTCTGAACCAAACATATTAATAGGACCAAGTGTGAATATATAGTGGAGTTATCATAATTGGCACATTTCTTTATATTGGGAAATGAAAAATACAACGTTTTATTAATTAATTTATTTATTTATTTATTTATTCATTCATGTGTTCCTTTTAGCTCTAATATTCAACAAAAAAAAAAATTTTGAAATAGGAAAAACTGTTCAAAGGCGACGCAGTGGCGCAGTGGGTAGCACGTTCGCCTCACAGCAAGAAGGTCGCTGGTTCAAGCCTCGGCTCAGTTGGTGTTTCTGTGTGAAGTTTGCATGTTCTCCATGCGTTTGCGTGGGTTTCCTCCGGGTGCTCCGGTTTCCCCCACAGTCCAAAGACATGCGTTACAGGGGAATTGGGTAAGCTAAATTGTCCGTAGTGTATGAGTGTGTGTGTGAATGTTTCCCAGAGGTGGGTTGCAGCTGGAAGGGCATCCGCTGCGTAAAAACTTGCTGGATGAGTTGGCGGTTCATTCCGCTGTGGTGACCCTGGATTAATAATGGGACTAAGCCGACAAGAAAATGAATGAATGAATGAATGAATGAAAAACTGTTCAAGTGATTGATTGCAGTGGTATAAAAAAGGATTTAATTTGCCTTCGCTCACTCAGTAGTTGTGTTAGAAATTATTTTTCTATTTTATTATTATTATTATTTTTTTTTGTAAATTTAGTCCATGTTAAAACACAAATGTAGTGGTATAAATATACATGGATATTAACAGGTTTACTGTTAGGCTGCATGATATTGGAAAAATGGAACATTGCAATACTAAGTTCACCAGATGACTTAATATCTCTATTTGGAAAGAATTTATAATGTTAGATTAATTAGGATGATTCTGCAGTGACGATGCATCTCCATAAAATCTAATAAAAAAATCAATACAATTTTTGGGATCCCCGACACATTTTCTCTGTGGTCTGTGCTATTTGCAGTGCATTTCTGTAATTGCATGTGTATGTGTAGATGTGCATGTGCTAACAATCTAAAAATACAGTCAAGAAACAGATACAATTGAAACAAAGCATATTATTGTTTCCAAGTATAACAGTATTCAAGTACAGTAACTGAATGATAAAAAATAAAAACAATTCAATAAAATTAATCTTTGTTAAAGTAACAAATGGTACAGTTACTTATACCTAAATGCTTTTAAAATCATTATACAATCAAAGGCATCAAAAAGAATGCAAATAATACATTCTAATACAAACTCAACTTGTGATGTGACTATTGCGAATGGTCACATTATGATATTGATCTCTAGTTTACTAGATTCACAATGTTACTAACTTGAAACATGCATCAGTCTTTAAAATTGGCTCGTCAATGGGTTCAAAACATTAATGATTTTAATTATATGGACTGAAACTGCTAAAACATTATTCAGAACATTTTTTGTGTGTGTTTTATGGAACAATGTAGATTTGAAAAGGCATGACAAAAGATGTGAAAGGGGTTTATGGGGTTCATTGCCACCTACAATGTAGACAAAAACAGTTTAAACTCTTTTTGTAAATAGGTTTGGGAGGGCAACTTTTTTTGGACCCCATTGACTTCAATTTATTCCTTAGTGTCTAATGTAAATATGTAAGTCATATGAGTTTTGAAAAGGTGTACAAAAACATTGTAATGTGAAATGTGTGTTCTACAGGTTTGGGAAGGGCGTTGGAGGGTCATTCCCTTTCACGTTCTGCCAGAGTGGCTAAAAGACAACGACTACCTCCTGCACGGTCACCGGCCCCCCATGCCCTCCTTCCGTGCCTGTTTTGGGAGCATTTTCAGGATCCACACAGAGACCGGGAATATCTGGACTCATTTGTTGGGTAAGGTTGAGGTTACAGCGTTGAGTCGTCACAGAGAATAGTGGCTTTTGTCCACCTCATGCATATATTTAGTACATCAATTATGCAGCAGATCCATTACAAGAAATAAACACCACTCTAATTTTGAGAGCTTGCAAGATCGTGTTAAACGTTTACTTGTGGTGACGTATGATGCATTTTTATCATAATAAATAACAAATATAATTGGTCACTTAGATTAAAAAGGTTATAAAAGGTAATAGGTTTTTTTCAATCACTGTTTTGTTGACTCATAATTCAGGGCAGGAAGGAAAAACTAAACGGGAGATCTAGAGGACAGTTCGTATTTTTGTGTTTTAGACCAAATTTCCAAGAAGTTATGAATATAAAATAACCAAACATGTTAGGCATTATCCTTATATCATAAAGAGGGCCAAGTTTTTTTACTGAAATAAAATATATTTGCCTGTCATCGAGGCGGTAGATACTGTAAAAGCTATTACTTTACATGAAAAAATACTATGGTAAATACTGCAGTGTTTAGAAGCATACTATAGATAATTACTTTAATTAAACGGTTTTAGTAATTATATTTTTGCTGTGGTACGACTCTACTGTAGTAATAAACAAATAAATCAATAGGCTTCAGTTTCTATAATCATACACAGTAACAATACACACCACAGTTTACACTACACGTTACGTTACAGTATTTATTGCAGTTTTTCAGTTTACTATGTCACAGTATTCTGTAGCATTCATTATACACTTTACTATGTGGTTCAAAAACATGTTTATTATAAATTACTATAGTTTTTCCATTGTAGGTATCTTCCAGACATCATGAAATAACAGATGAAAGCATAAAAAAGTGGAAGCATAGTCTATATTATTATTTATATGTCTTTTGTAAGGGGAAAAGAAGTGCTCCATAATAATAACTTTCTAGTTTTGTCGCAAGGGTTGCATTTCTTTTTTGTTCTCAAAAAAGATTGTACACGTAAATGTTAATTACATGCCGCTTTTTCCTGCATTTTTCCCACTTTCCCACCTTTATGAGCAAAAATGTCTTATTTTGGCTAATTTAAATGATTATAAACAACATAAAACAGAAACATTTTGATGTTCTAATAGCGATCCCTATGTAGAAGAATCGCTTCCTGCACTCCATCTGAATTTTGCGCATCATGTATAAACAACCTATTTTATAGTAGTGTCAGTGAAAAAGCATCCGTGATAAAATAAAGCAAATACCCTTGTATTGAAAGTCTAAATATTGCCTAATTTTACTAAAACTGAAATAAAAAACAGTTCAAATGATTAGAAAGGTTTCATTAATTTGTTCATTTAAAAACACAAATATTATATTATTATTATTTATTTATTTTTTTTTTAATCCTACAAATTAAATTCATTATGAAATATGTGGATTCAAGCCACAGTGTTTGTCTAAACTCTTTACATTTTTGGAAATGTTAATATTTAAGCTAAAAAAGGAGCATCACTGTATTAACTATTATTTGTTTTCTCAGGGTTAATCTTATTTTTGTGCCTGGGCACACTTACCATGCTGAGGCCCAATATGTACTTCATGGCCCCGTTGCAGGAGAAAGTGGTGTTCGGGATGTTCTTCTTGGGTGCAGTGCTGTGCCTCAGCTTCTCCTGGTTATTTCACACTGTCTACTGCCATTCTGAGAAAGTCTCACGCACTTTCTCCAAGTAAGTTTACTCTTTAGACCCTATTCACATTTCCAGGTTTCTCAGTAGTGGAAAACGTCGCAGCTGGGTAAACTTAGAGCGCAGTAAATAAGAGAGTACAACAATTTTTTTTTTTTACAATCCTATTTGCTGAAATAATAAAAGAAACTCCACAATGGGGTTATCAAGACTTTCAGAAAAAGGAAAAAATTGTGTGAGACTGATGACGGCAACCAGAAGAGAGAATAACGTCAAATTTACTCTCAGCCCCATAGTCGCTGCATTAGACGCCTTGCATAATTCTTTGTTTGTGATTTGACGCACAGATGATCTAATACATTCATAAATGTTCATAAGTTTTTTTTTAAAAATCAAAATATTAAAAACTGTTTTTTAAGATTAATCTTAAGATTGATGACCGTTAAACACGTCATAACAGGGTTGTGAAAAGGGTCCCATGTTATTATGTGCATTATTTCATGACAGAAACATTCATTTATCTCTTTGTTTTTCATGTTTGTTCTCTCTCTTTCTCAGACTGGACTACTCCGGCATTGCTCTGCTGATCATGGGCTCTTTTGTACCCTGGCTTTACTACTCGTTCTACTGCTCTCCTCAGCCGCGTCTCATCTACCTCACAATCGTCTGTGTGTTGGGCATCGCCGCTATAATCGTCGCCCAGTGGGATCGTTTCTCCACTCCACGACACAGGCCCACCAGAGCAGGTGAGTAGTGACATATTTGCTATAATGTACAGCGGGCCGATTAATCAAAGGTGAAATTCATGTGCATTTTTTTTCAGTAAAACCGGCTCTGCAATCAGCTGTAAATCTGTAAATTTTTCGTCTGCCAGATTATGTCTTTATATTCATCTATGCACTGTGTTTGTCATAATGCCGTCATTTGACCAGCACAGATCACTTTCTGTATTTTGCCTTTTGCTTGTATGGTGGCTCTAAACTATCAAAAGTCAAGTCAAAGTTTATTTATAAAGCGCTTTTTAAAAACAACACTTCTCAAACATTTTTTTTAAATGCAACAAATTGAAAAAAAATCTAACCCCAATTGATTTTTTTTTTTTTTGTATGGTGGTTGAAAGTTTCAAATTTGACTGATGCAACAGGAGGTTAAATTTAGTTTTTACGTGCGAAATTCTGATTCAGTGTGCAGTAACCTTTTAATTGTGATCCTAAAATTGATGAGAATTGTTTTGCGATTTTTATAAGCGGTACATTTTCCTTCTCAGTCAACTATGGCTCTGTGTTGCTTCTGATTTTAAAGCAAATGAAAATACATGACATTTTTACTTTGAACGCATATCATAACTTTAGTTAACTGTTGGAAATAAATCATTCAGTGAGATGATAATGATGATGATTTCATAGTCGTGTTTATTAGTCATGTTGAATAAGTAAAAGCAGTTAAATCTTCTAATCTATTTGATTTCCTGACCTTTTCTCTTTTATGTGGCTTATTTGCCCAATCTGAGCAGATTTACTGGTGATCACAGAGCAGTGTTTCCATCACAAGATATGAATGACAATCGCAGCTTTTGCCAAATCATTATCTTATAATTTCAAATAATAGCGCATGCATGTATATCTTGTTTCAATTCACACCTGTCTTTATCACTTAAGGCTTGTACACACCAGCACCATTTTTGCATTTTTTATTTTATTTTTTTATATATATATATATATATTTATTTTTTTTTTGGCTGTCAAACCGAAGCAATTTTAACTGGTGAGAAACAAAGTGAATCACCAAAATCCCTCCCTGACATTAGATGGCGCTTAATGGAAAAACAAAAATACTCTGGTAAACAAGGTGGCGCTGTGGAACCTAAATCTTCTGACACTTGCTTGTCACATAAGAGAAGAAGACTGTTTGCTCTGCAATCCTTCTATTTCAGGGCTTCGTCCGAAACCACCTTGTACTCAGTAGGTACTGCACTTAAATTTAAACGTACTACTCGGCCGTTAAAATAAAGTATGTTCTATACAGTATGAATGTGAAAAGTATGAATGAAACTCAGACGTACCACATCCGCCAATTGTCATGGTCTCGTGACCTACCTGCGTCAGTTGTGTCGCTCCACTCCCATTCATGAATTCTCTCGCGGGCCATCATGGAATAGCGCAGCATGCATGAGATTTCAGAATCTCGCCGAAACTAGTAAGTCATCCGGGTACTTCTCGCATACTGATTTTTGAATTCTATGAATTCAGACATGCTACTTGGCTCGCATACTGATTGATTTTAGCGTACTTTATAGTATGGAAGTATGCGGTTTCGGACACAGCCCAGGAGTGTCCATACTCGGTCCTGGACGAGTATGACAGAATATCGCATGCTCAGACTCCAGTGTGACCGCAGCTTTACTAGGTATAATAGAAACTTCCAGGCAGGTGTGTTGAAGCAAGTTGGAGCTAAGATCAGCAGGACACCGGCCCTCCAGGACCGACTTTGGACACCCCTGCTCTACATCATAAATCTCAATGGTTTAATAGTCATAAACGCCTTCATTAGTTGCATCAGCTGTGTTTGTTCAGGGTTGTAGCAAAACTGTGTCCCTCCAGGAATTGAGTTTGAGACCTATGCTCTACATGATGGTGGATTCCAATCTAAAGGGTTCATCCCTATGCCCAAATCTCTTCGGACGGTCCCTGTAAAGAGACTAGACTAGAGCATAGAGAAGTGCCTTCCCGAATTGAGTGCAGGGTGTGACATAAAACATCTTCAATGCTCAAAGGAGAACTTTCCAAAGTGTCCATCAGTTGTATCTTTTAATCTCTTTCATTCCAAAAGCCCTTTCGAAGTGGCCGGTTTTGAATGACACTTCAATATGGCAGCCATGATTTTGTTTCACTCTGAAGTACCTGTCGGAGGGCAATATCGTTTGGAATGCACCAAATAACTCCCTCTTGTCAACATTTTCGTAGTTGCTGTCGTGTTTATCATACAGCTCCACATACACCTTGCCTTGAAAATATCTCCTTCATTATTAGGACTGTGCTCATCTAGAACATTTGTGCTTGAGTGCCACAAAGTCATGTTTACTGTAACTTTAGCAGCTCCTGGCATGTGAAGAGGAGTTTTAACCACAGTGTCATTTTTTTTTTCCACATCTGCCATTTTGCACATTGGTATGCACACTCACATTGGGGCCCTGTTTAGTCACAGGGTAAGGTTGAGCTAAATGTGTGTGCAAGACCTTGATTCTCACACTCGTATAACATTGTTGTTATTCTTAGGAGTTTTCATGGGTCTTGGATTGAGCGGGATTGTCCCCACCATGCACTTCACCATCGAGGAGGGTTTCGTCAAGGCCACTACCGTTGGACAGATGGGCTGGTTCTATTTAATGGGCGCCATGTACATCACCGGCGCTGGATTGTATGCTGCACGAATCCCAGAGCGCTACTTCCCGGGCAAGTGTGATATTTGGGTAAGGAAAAGCAACTTTGGTTTTAAATTTGCTCCATAATAACAGATCTGAGTTCTGTGTTATAACCATTACCCTTCTGATTTGTCTTTTTGTCTCTCAGTTTCACTCGCACCAGATATTTCACGTGCTAGTGGTGGCAGCGGCCTTCATTCATTTCTATGGGGTTTCCAACCTGCAGGAGTTTCGCTATGGTCTGGAAGGAGGCTGCACTGATGACACTCTCCTCTGAGAACTTGTCAAACTCGCTCGTTTCAATTAGGATTAATAGTACCCCATTTATACCCATTCCTTCGTTTTATTTACCTTTAAGTTTTTCCTGATTGATTTAACTTAACTTTCATTATTTCACTTTTTTTTATTATTATTATTCTGTTACATGATTTAGTTTCTTTTGAAGAAAGCATTTGTGTGGTCAAAGGTATCCGATGGCTGGAACATGATAACCCTTGTTATCATCAAACTTTAATTTTGAGCACAATCTGAAAGTTTGAACCGACATGTTTGTTTTGTAGTGAAAAGCACTTTCATTGAGCTGTAGAGATGCGCCCTCATAATATAATGCATTTTGTTTCTTATTGTAAATGAACAATTGAGATCATTCGATGCACACCCAAAGTATTGCCCCAATATTAATAGAGCAATGTCTTTGAGATGTTTTGTTCATAGCGATTTAACGCACAAAGGGCATATAAAGGGTTTGAGGGTAAAATCTACCTGCTTTGAACACTTGCGCAATTTTTAACCTTTACTTCTAGGTCAAATAATAACGTAA